TTTACAATATAAATATTCCGTCTTACTTCTACTCAGACGAAAACCTTTCGACTCCAATGTCCTCCTCCATAACTCAAGTTTGCAATTAACCTCTTCTCTTGTCTCTGCTATAAGAACTATATCATCCGCAAAGAGCATACATTTCGGGATTTCCTCTTGAATATGTTCCGTCAAAACATTTAAAATCAAGTTGAACAAATAAGGACTCAGAGATGATCCCTGATGTAGTCCAATCTTTATAGGAAAATCCTTTGTTTGACCACTAGGCGTTCTTATACTAGTTTTTACCCCCTCATACATATCTTGTATGGCTTTAATATAAGCAATCCGTACTCCCTTTTTTTCCAACGCTTTCCAAAGCACTTCTCTTGGTATACGGTCATAAGCTTTTTCCAAATCAATAAAAACCATGTGTAGATCTTTATCTTTACAACGATACTTTTCCATTAATCCCCTTAGTAGATAAATCGCCTCTGTAGTTGATCTACCTGGCATAAAACCAAATTGATTCTCAGAAATACTTGTCTCCAATCTCAACCTGTGCTCAATTACTTTCTCCCACAATTTCATTGTGTGGCTCATGAGTTTAATCCCTCTATAGTTAGTACAATTCTGAATATCTCCTTTATTTTTATAAATAGGAATTAATGTACTTCTCCTCCACTCATCAGGCATTTTCTTGGACCGTAAAATCACATTAAATAACTTAGTTAACCATCTCACCCCTTCTTCACCTAAACATTTCCACGCTTCGATAGATATACAATCAGGTCCGTTAGCTCTACCATTTGCCATTTTCTTAAGAGCTTCCTTTACCTCCTTATCACGTATTTTTCGATAGAATGACAAATTTTGTTCTCCTTCACCAGTTACTAAATCCTCCAAGTTACTAGATGAATCCTCTCCATCATTGAAAAGTTTAGAAAAATAAGTCTCCCATCTATTTTTAATTTCATCATCTGTAACTAAAATTCTTCCCTCTTCATCCTTAATACACCTTACCTGTTCTAGATCTCTTGATTTTCTTTCCCTACTCTTGGCAATCTTATAAATATTTTGCTCTCCTTCCTTCGTCTCAAGGTTCTTATAAAATTCTTCAAAAGCTTTGGAACGAGCTTCACCCACAGCTCTCTTAGTTTCCTTCTTAGCCATACGGTACCTCTCCCAATTTTCCTCATTGTTACACAAATGTATGGCTTTAAAACAGTTCTTCTTATACTTGATTTTGTCCTGTACACTATTATTCCACCACCAAGACTCCTTATCTCTCGGACCAGAACCTTTCGATTCTCCCAAAACTACTTTTGCAACCTCCCGTATCTTTTTAGCCATATCCTCCCATATGATGTTAGCACTTCCCTGAGAATCCCAAATTCCTTTATCCAAAAGATTTTGCTTGAAAATATCTTGCTTCTCACCTTTTAATTGCCACCACCTAATCCTTGGTGTTACTACTTGTCGACGTTTTTGGATTTTACTCATAATACACACATCAAGGACTAGGACCCTGTGTTGTGTCGTTACAGCATCTCCAGGGATCACCTTACAATTTTTACAAAGTTTTCTATCTGTGTTCCTAACCAAAAGAAAATCAATCTGCGACCTTGAGGCTCCACTTTTGTAAGTGATGAGATGCTCATCTCTCTTCTTGAAACAAGTGTTGGCAATTTAAAATCATATGCCAATGAGAAATCAAGAAGAGTTTGCCCTTCATTGTTTAGCTCTCCAAAACCAAAACCACCATGCACCCTCGCATACTGACCAGCTTCCCTCCCGACATGCGCATTAAAGTCTCCTCCAATAAAAATCTTTTCACTCTGTGGTATGTGTCGAATCAACCCCTCCAGATCCTCCCAAAATAATTCCTTAAGACTGGCTTCTGTCCCGACTTGCGGCGCATAAGCGCTAACAATATTAACAGTCTCACGTCCAATTATCATTTTTAAAGAAATAATTCTGTCTCCAATTCTGCTAACTTCTACAACGTTCTTCTTCCACTCCTTATCTATAATGATGCCTACTCCATTGCGTGCACTTACTTTTCCTGTATACCAAAGTTTGAAACCTTGAATATCCTTAGCTCTTTCTCCACGCCATTTTGTTTCTTGCAAGCAAAGGATATTGATTTTCCTTTGAATCATAACCCCTACAACCTCTACAGATTTACAATTTAATGTCCCAACATTCCAAGTACCAAATCTAATTTTGCTCTTATGGACTAACTTCTTTAGCCGCGTGCGTCCAGAATGACGCGGTAGCCCTTGCTCATTTAACACTACATCCGGGCGCCGATGCAGCGGCTCTAACTCACTTATCACTGTACTCGAGCCATGCAGCGCGTTACTTACAGGCAACGACCTAGCATTAACATTATAACGTCTATTGTCCATGTTCATGATAGATTCAACAAATTTTTACATTGGCTGTTGATGGCCTAACACAACCCTCCTCCTTTACCCGGGCTTGGGACCGGCTATAAACATAGGCGGAGTTTTTCGGCTTGGAACAAAGTGGCCAAAAATTCTTATGGGTCCTTAGAACACCAAGTAACTCGGTTAATGCTGCTTACCTTGGTTCTGCAAATGAGAATAACCCTTTAGATTTCTTACCAGAAGGGTTTTGGAGAGAACTAAGGAGCAAGGTTTTGTTATTCCTTCTTGGGCACCTCAGATTTCAATTCTTAGTCACAGTTCAACTGGTGGATTCTTGAGTCATTGTGGTTGGAACTCCACACTTGAGAGCGTACAAAAGGGAGTGCCATTGATAGCTTGGCCACTTTTTGCTGAGCAGAGAATGAATGCTGTTCTGTTAACTGATGGCTTTAAAGTGGCATTGAGACCTAAGCTTAATGAAAATGGCATAGTGGAAAGGGAAGAGATTGCTAAATTGGTGAAGAGTTTAATAGAAGGTGAAGAAGGTAAGGAGATTCGCAAGAGAATGAAGGATCTAAGTGATGCTTCGGTTAATGCTCTCAAAGAAGATGGTTCTTCCACTAAGATGCTATCTCACGTGGCACTCAAATGGAAACATTTCAATGGGAAATAAGGAAATCTTAAACTTGCCTATATTGTTGCTTCTGTTAGTTCTTGTACCTGTTATCAAGTTTATTCATATGCTTCTGTTTCACTTTTGGGTGTACGTTAATGCTAGTAATCAATCTGAGTTCAAAGATACTTACGGCGAGCATTTCTTAATATAATATTAAATATTATATTATATTATTTCTTTATTTTCTTTAGGCTGCCAATTTATAGTTTTTTCAAAAATATTGAATTATAGACGAGTCAAAAATTGATACACTAAATTGTGAATTGTAAATAGTTATAGTTGAACGATTGAATTATAAGTGAATTAAAAGTTGAGGAATTAATTTTTTTTAAAATTTAATCATTACTACATAATCATGATAAATTGAGAGATTAAAAGATTAATTTTGTTAAAATTTAATCATTAGTATATATTCATGACTTAAAATTTTTAATTAAAATGAATCAACCTCTAGTCAATAGTAATTAATTCAAATACATCAAACTGATACATGTAGTTTTTATATTTTATTATAATGGAATTTATTATTACATGGAGTTCAACTTTTTTTCTTATTTTATTGATTATTTTCGATGAGTGTTACTTTGTAAAAATTTCTCGAAGTCCCCCATGCACCAATTTAATTGTGCACAAGGACAATAATTAAATATGTCCTTGTGCACGGTGAAGGCTCCATTTAGGTAATTTATATTTAATTTTTGGACAATTCAAAAAAATCTCAAAGTTGTTGGTATTAATAATTTCAGGTGAATATACATTATAGTACATTTGAAATATGATTGAACGTGGATTTTGGGAATGTGACTATTTATAGCTTGTGGAAATCACATTTGGTGTGGTTTAATTGAAGGGGTAGTTAAAATGTATATTGTTCATGTGTAAATAACAAATATTAGGTATATTAGAGATGTTGAATCTCAATTGATAACAAAAAAGGTCCTAAACTTCCTTACCATAGTTCACTCGGATGTAAAAAAATACAAGGCTTTGGTAGAACAAGTGTTTGATTTTATTAAAGTACGAAAAATTACAAGTCTAAACTAAAAACTAACTAATAACTTAAAGGCTAAAAGTATAAAATGTGAGTCTTTAGTTGAATGTTGACTACTTTCTTCTGTGTCTTCGTCTTCTATTTATAGCGTTAGAGTACTGGTAGCCTTTCCCTTAAGACCTAGCATGTTTTGCCAAAGAATCAGGAATCTTATAAAACTTATAGTACGGTCTTTATTCTATGCTCTCCATGTTGGTAATCAGCCCGTTTCATTGAGATACTTGGGTGTGAAGTCTATAGATTTCGGCATTACTTGAGATTGTGTTTTTTTATGCCAACAGTCTAATGTTTGTAGCTGATGAGATTTTCGCATGTTTATTCATTGTGGCCTTTATCGAGCTTTGAGGTCGGCCTTTTTGTTTATATTGGGCCTAATGCTTCAGTTACTCAGTCTAACTAGCTTTGTGACTTATTTGAGCAACATTTCATATTTTAGTCCAAACAATGCCCCTTACGTGCCAGTGGCTGATAACATAAGCCACGTGACACGTTTGAAAAAACTAAAACATCGCTTCGTTTTTGAGCATCCTTTGTTAATATATACTCATTTCTTTTTCTGGTCACTTCTCTTGCCCTTTCTATCATTTCTTGACATTCAAGTATTTGCTCCCTTGCTCCAATCTCCGTTTTGCTCTCAAGTGCTTCCTCTACTTCTGTCGCGGCCTCTACTGCCGCTCCATCTTCCATATCCATTGGAAGTCTGCCTAATTCTCTGGTAATTATCCAGAATCCTGTTACCTCACTTGGTGGGTTTGTGACAATATGTATTCAGTGGTTAAAACCCTTATTTCCCTTAATTTGTTCCTTATTCTAATAGTTATTTATTTTCTATATAGGAGGATTCTTCGTTTCATGATGTTGTTACTTTCTGGTAAATTTTTTACTTCACCTGTTCAGCCCTTCTATTTTATTGGGGATATATGCTAACTGTTCTTTGTTTTTTTTCACAGTACTTTTCCTTGGAGTTTTCAAATCTCTAATAAGAGTGAGGTCGGGTAGCTGACTATATCTCTTGACTTACATGAAGTGATAGCCCCAACTTAACCAAATCTATGGCCACTAACCTCTATATGCAATTTGGTCTTGGCCTGGACGACCTCACCTTTCCCTGAGTCATCTTGTTGAAAGCTCAGGAACTAGCCCCGGTCTCCTCATGCTTAGGTTAACTGGGTGAGGTGCTTAAAGCAGTCATATGCATCATAATGGAAGGAAATGGGTCTTTACGACCTAATTCAGTTGTCCTTAGCTTATGTCGACATCTCGATCGAGCTTCTGATGGCCTTCTTAAGTTTCTAGGCTTCGGGCTGCAATGCCTTCATATTTGAGTTTAGCCCCATGTCTATCACGTTATGGGACATCTTCATGTACCTAGGGCTGCCCATTACCGAGGAGGAGAACTTTTATGCAATCTTCAATAAGCATGACTCCTACACTACTCTCCTAGTCGATTTAGAGAGTAAGATTAAGAGCGCAGGCTCCTATACAAAGATCATGGAGTTGTTCTCTGAGAAACCAGTTGACAAGTTCGTCACCCCTACAAAGCACCTAGTTTTCATCTGAATCTTGTCGAGCCAATAGATCCTAGCCTCGGGGGGAGAGAAGCTCGTGTAGCTACATCTGAGGATTGCCCAGTCTCTTCTCTATGGCAATCAACTAGCCTTAGGGACAATGTTTCTATGCCACCTCTGTGACGGCATGAGGGAGTCATTGATGAAGAAACCTTTTGGCAACTTCTATGGGCCTGTCTAGTTTTTGAAACTGTGGATGACAACCTACTTCCCCCTTCTCTAACGGGAACCCTTTCCTAACGATTCCCACGCCAACCATTCCCTCACCTGCTTCTGGGTGGTCATTTACTGACTGACTCGAAGAACTTCTTCGAGTTCTTTAGTCAATAGAGCTAGTCCTTGGGAAGGACCTTGAAGGCTTTCAACATTCCAAACTGCCGTCTTCCTACCTGGTATAAATATCTAGTGGACCAAAAGAATAAGCCCACCAAATTATTAAGGGATGAGGTTTTCCTCTCAGCCACTACTCCGAGAAAGATGTGGCGGTTGCACACTGGTTCTTCCTTCAAGTCCCTGAAGGTCTACTTAGAGTCGTATCATCCTCAACTAGTGGTGGGCCAGTTTGGATTAAGCTAGTATATCTCTCAAGGGCTATCCCCCCAAATCAGTGTGGAGTTGCTGGATCTGGAGGCCATCGACTAGATAGTCGTTCCATATACCACCTAGAGGCAGTGTAAGGTGGAGCTTATAGATAGAGATGCTTGCCTCCATTTTAATAAATGGTGGCCCCCATACTTTAGGCATATAATAAAGAGCCATACTAGTAAGTATTATTTCCTGTGTTTAATTTATCTTTCCTCATTTTCCCTTATGCCAAAGTCTAATCCTGTTTTTACTTTTTATAGGCTGTGATTGGATATAATCTCACATGCTGATGACATTCTTGAAGGGAAACATTAATGCCCCCACTGCTTAAGAGACCTAGACGGCCCCTTCACTAAGGACTGTGGTCCAAGGGATAGATCAGGATAACGCATCCTCCTAAGTCTCAGTCTTAAAGAAGCTTGGGGCTGAGAAGATCCCCTCCTCAAGTCGCCTAGATAAAGGAGATGGTCTTGACAAGAGGAAGCAAACTTCATCTCTATCACCCAATGCTAAGAGGAGGAAGAAGATAATGCCTCCTCCCTTTAATCAACCTTCCTCCACTCCTCTTTCAATTAGTCCTACTCCCTAGAAGGGAAAGCGTATGCACAAGCGCTAATGGACGATAATCTTGTTGGCAAAATCTGATGACGGCAGGATCAGTCCCTTTCAATATGGAGAGATAGAGACCTAACTCCCAGACCCCCCAGTGGTCACTTCCTTTGCCTCTACCATCCTTAAGCCAATCTCCATAGATTGAACTAAAGTTTCTTAAGACATAGCCCGAGAGTTAATGGACTATGCTGAAGATCTAGGGGTCACCATGTCTGCCTCGACCCCAGGTAGTGCTAATGGTCTAGAAGATCTCGTAGTTGCTATTGGCTAGGGAGAAGGTTTCACTACAGTCTCGAGTGGTGAGTTGGGGCTTAGGGCTAATGAATTTCAAGGTCTTGTGTCTACTGAGGCCTCAAGGATGGTTCCTCCCATTAGTTCAGCCCTGCCCACCAACTCAACAAGTGCCCTAGAGATTGGGGGCTCTGGGAGGCCCTTGAAAGGACTTCAGGCGATGACTATAAGGAATGTGATAATCGCCCTGGCTTCCACTCAAGGCATCTCGATACGGGGTCAAATTGACTCCTCCATACTTAGGGCTATGTGGAGAAGGCCTTATGATCAGCTGTGCGGTCTGCACATACCCTTCCACCTTCCACGAGTAAAGACAAAACACTCATGGACCTTATTCAAGTATTAGCTTATTATGCTCTTTCCTTCTAGTCTTTCTAGTCCATTTCTTTTTCTCTCATTACTAACCTTGCTTCTTTTTCTTCAGCTTGCTTCCTCGAAGGTGGTTCCTACTGACGCTCTTCTAGCCCGCATCTATGTCCTTGAAATGGACATGGTGTTAGATGCTTGGAGGGTCATGCAATTTCAACTTAGCTAAGTCCTACTCCTCATTCCCAAGCAAAATTACGAGGAGATGATTTGAGCTCTAAAGGTTGTGGAGAAGGCAATCTCCATGCCTGAGCTGGCGCTCCTTTGAGCTCAAGTCCTGACGTGCTACAGTATCATCAACTGGTGCCATAAAGAATTCTCCTTTCTTTCAGACTATTTGAAAAACTATTGGTCTGTGAGGGATGAGTATCTTGCCACCAAGACTCATACGATTGATGCTACTGATTGGTTCCAGGAGATTGCCCCTCGCGTGGATCACTTTCAGGTGTTACGGGCTAAGGTGGTGAATTTGAGGTGCCAACTAGTAGTAGCTGAAAAGGAATTAGCAAGGGCTGAAACTAAAGACAATCCAACTAAGTTCAAGCTAGAGATCTTAACTAAAGCTCTAGATGATACATGGGCTGTTTCAAATGAAAAGCTTCATTCCGCGATTGAATTTAAGATGGCTTTAGTCACTATCAAACCCTATCTGAAAAGCTAGACTCGGCTTTAGGGACTTGGGAGACCATCTGTACTATTTCTAAATAGTGGGCATATGTACTGTACTCTTCATTCTTTATTCTTTAATCTGTACTATATGCCCCTTGTAACATAATTCATATGCAATAAAGAGTAAAATTATTTTTTTATTATTGTGTGCCCTTTGTATGCCCTGAGGCCATTCTAGGCCTCAGGTCCTTTATTTTTTTAGACTTTACAATAACGACAGCAAATATTTCGTTAAATATTTTTCATTTATAGCTTTTCTGTGCAAAGTCACGTCAATACTAGCTAACACATATGTGTTTCCTTTAAATACTTCATTTATCCTAAACAATCCTTCCCAGTTAGGTGAAAATTTGCCAAGCTCCGGTCTTTGGAACTAGGTGGTAACAAAAGTTTTCACACGAGCTCGTCTACCCAAAAGTGTTTCCTTTTTATTCATTTATTATATATTCTTGAAAATTTTTTCTTTTGGGTGATCATATGATCCAGTGCTTGTAAATGAATTTAATCTAATTGAATCAATTCATTCATCATAGCCTCATTGTAGTCCTTAGATAGTCTTTTTAGACTGTTCGCAACACGTAAAGAAAGGACTGCTATTTTCACAAGCAAAACAACTTCGTACCTATATGTTAACACATATAGGCTCCTGCCTATGGCCTCTCTCTTTGACATCTGGTATGCCCATAGTGTCTCAAAAAATCATACATGCCATTCTCTAGGGTTTTCTTTGATTGTTTTCTTTAGAATTCTGAGGATTATCTTACTGGAAGCTTTAGCTTGTTCATTTGCCTGAGGGTAATATGGTGAGGATATCAATAATTTGATCCCACTTTCCTCAGTGAAAGCTTTGAAGTTGCTTCCAGTAAACATTATTCCTTAGTCCATTGTAATCATTTGAGGAATCCCAAACCGAAACACTATTTGCTCACGTATAAAGTTAATGAGTTGTCCTGTTCCACTTTCTTCATTGGGATAGCCTCTACCCACTTCATGAAATAATCCATAGCCATTGAGATAAATGAGTAGGCCTTGGATGAGACCGAATATATTTTCCCTATTACATCCATATCCCATCCTTGAAAAGGGCATGGTTTAATAATTAGATACATGTCTGATGCCGGCACCTATTGTGTTGGCCTGTGAGTCTGGCACTTCTTGTATCTTCTAGCATATTCGATGCAATCTTTAGTTATTGATGGCTAACAACATCCATGCCTACACACCAACCGTTATATCTTTAGTCTTGACTAATGGACCCCACATACTCCCTCATGCACTATCTTAAGACCTCCATATAGTCAGTAAAGGCCAAACACCTATGTAATAACCTATCGGGGCCTTTTCTGTATAATTTATCTCCAATTAGAATGAATTATTGAGCATGTATTCTCATTCTGTAAGGATATCATTGGTTGGAATTTTATAAATAACTCTTGAAATCATCTCTTTAATCTTGGGCTAACCCTTGTGAGACCACACCACATTGTAGTATCAAATCACGCTGAGCAATTGAGGGATGTTCTTTCCATTCCACCACAATTATCTTCCTGATGAGTTCGAGTGACAGCCTTAGCCCTGATGCTATTTGAACCAGTTCATTGGCCTCCCAATTTTGAGCTCGGGGAATGTGAGTTAACGTTACCGTCTCGAACTCTTTTAGGATTTAAGAAGTCCCAGCATAATACATTAGTAGAGCCGAGCTTATACACTTATACTCGCTAGTTAATTGTTTGATGACTAACTAAGAATCCCCTTCTATGACCATATCACAGGCTCTCATTTCTTAAAGAATTTTGAGCCCTGTGAACAGTGCTAATACTTTACATGATTGTTAGTACATTCAAAATCTAATTGAAGAGATAATATAATTTTTACCTCAACAGGAGAGGTTATTACTATCCTGGCCCTAGATGCTTGTTCAGTATTAGACCCATCAAACTTGAGCACTCAAGGCCCTGGATCTATTGTGAACACAAGTAGTTCTCGCTTATCTTCGAGGAGCCTAACTAAGGGGTGATCAGCTAGGAAATTTGCTAATGCTTGGTCCTTTACTGATTTTTGAGACAAGAATACTAGTAAGAATTTTGCTAAGGCTAAACTCCATTTTCTTATATGGCCTGTCATGATTGGCTAATTAAGCATGTATTTAATTAAATCAGAATGAGAAACCACATACACAACTATATTTATTATATAATGTCTTAATTTAATATAAGCATAATATCACGCTAAACACATTTTTTGCACAGCTGAGTATCTAGTCTCTGTGGGAATTAAACACTTACTTAAATAATAAACTACTTGATCATGTCCTCCATCAATATTATGGGCTAACATATAACCTATAGATATGGTGGTGGAAGCTACATACAATAAAAATGGGGTGTTCTCCCTTGGGGTTGCTAAGACCGAAGGCTTCATTAAGTGTTCTTTAATCTTGTCAATGGCCACCTGATGATGTCTGGTCTAGGTGAATTCTTTGACATTTTTAAGTTTTAGGAGCTTAGAGAACTCTTTCATCTTCCCTGCTAGATTTGGGATGAAACGCTTGAGATAATTGACCTATCCTAAGAACCTTTAAAGTTCTTTCTTGTTGTTTAGTACCTTTGCTTCTAAGATAACTCATGCTTTGTTCCATTCTACTATAATCCCCCTTCTGTGGACCAAGAATCTAAGAAAATTACCTGCAGTTACACCAAAAGCACACTTAAGTGGATTTAATTTAAGGCTTACTTCCCTCATTTAGAGGAAATTCATCCTCAAATGCTCAATATGATTGTGTGCCTTCTTAGATTTAATCATTATATCATCTATATACACTTCTAGATGTTTTCCTATCATATCATGAAAGATGGCATTCATAGCTCGTTGATAGGTGGCCCTGGCCATTTTTCAGTCTGAATGGCATGACTACCCATTCAAACATCTCAATAGAGCCCGGGTACCTGAAAGCGGTTTTGTAAATATCTTCTTTTATGATAAATATTTGATTATATCTAGAAAAAGCAATCTATAAATGATAATAAAGCAGTTTCGGCCCTAACATCTATTAACCTGTCTGTAATAGGTATTGCATACATGTCTTTAGGTATGGTCATGCTTACATTTTGAAAATCTATACAAAGTCATAGCTTTCTGTTTTTCTTGATTACTGGGACTATATTTAAGAGCCACTGGTTATACCTGCAAGCTGTATGAATCCGGCCTGTATGAGGCATTTGATCTTCTACTTTACTTGTAACTCTACCCTAACTAACATTCTCCTAGTGGGCAGTTGGTGCGGTCTATAATTCAACTTTATGGGAAGCCTATGTTCGACCTGCTGTCTCACCAGCCCTGACATTTCATCATAGTCCATGCGAAGTAATCCTTGAATTCTTACAGTACTTACTTGATGGCATTCTTTTGCTCTTTATTTAATAGTGAGCTAATGAAAGTGATCCTTGGCTCTTTCGGGGATCTGAGGTTTACTTCTAGTGGATCCTAAACCTCTCAGGCTATGTCTTCTAATTTTAGAGATGCAGGGTCTAGTTCATGTAGTTGTGTTACCCTTTGGGTTTCATCTTCATATACAACCTCAGCCCTAAAAGTTTTAGGTTCGTAGTCTTCCAGTCTCTCTCATATATTATGCAACCATAGCCTTTGAATGACCATGGCTACTATGGCCTTTCTTTTATCTAACTCAGTTATTAACCAGTTTTATAATGGGCTTATGCTTTTGTGATGTTAGAGTACTATCGTGTTCATTGTTGTTTTGCATGAAAGGATACCATGTGCCTTTTAAAATGTAAATAGGCCCACATCAGCGTCATAATACCTCATATCCATAAAGTCAGTGACTACTGTGAATAGCTTATCTTTAGCCCAGACCACTTCTACCTTTTCTCCTTTCCACATGAGAAGTATCTAATATAGTAAGGAAGGTACACACTTGTTGGCATGGATCCAATCCCAACCTAAGAGGGCCTGATACTATACTGTGATGCTGATCATGAAAAAGGCCATCGTGAGGATTTGGTCCTAACATCAATCTATAATGGTAGTACACTGAAGACCTTAGAGGTGGTCCCAGTGAATCTTACAACAGACACCTCAGTTGGCATCAGGTCATGATCTTCTCACCCCATCTTAAGCATCACATGAGGTGGCAATATGTTTTCTATTGAGCCATTATCCATAAGGACCCTAGTCATTGGCCTCCCATCGAAATGTGCATTAATGTACAAAGGCTTCAAGTGTTGGGCCATCTTAATGCTTGGTTTTTCCAGGATGGCCCACTTTGTCTTTCCTTCTACAACTTGCAAGGTGACTTAACAGACGGACTCTGCAGCCTTCTCTTTCTACATCTGCATCCTTATTAGTTTGTACTCCTATTCCTCCCTTGGCTTCATTAGGCAATATTAATATGGGCCTGTATATGTTGGCCCTGAGGAGTTCTGTTCACACTTGTTTTGAGTCATATTGGTGGTAGACTGGATTTAAGAAGGGAGCATTAATGAAACCACGCATTAGAGGTTAAGAGGTATCTCCTTAATATGAATAGTCCCATCATGTTGATTTTCTTTCTCACTCCCTTCATCCTAATCCTTAATGGACTTCCTTTTAAACTTGTTAACTTCCTACTGAACATCGAGGCTTTCCTGCACCTTAATTTCTTGATGCTCGAGATATCTCTGTGCAGCCCGCTTTTGTTGAAGACATTATTTACGAGTCTTGGTCAAGGCAGCTGGGAACTTCTTGTGTCTCATGACTTTTCATTTCAAAGGCAACAGCGTAATGAACTTACCCAAGCCTTTAGCAACTTTTAATTTTGAAGGAAGCTCTGTGATGCTTTTTGATGGTGTTAATAGTAGTAAAAGTAGGCTATCAAGGCCCACATCCCTGCCCATCGGTGTCCCATGAATGGTTCACTTATTCTTAGGGGCGCTAAGTACTTCACAAAGAAGTCAAATTTGTCAGATTGTCTCAGATCACCTTGGATCCATCTGGCTTTGTCATTATCAATCCCCCAAGGCTAATATCCCATCCTGAGGGTCATTTTCTATTCTTTTACATTTTACTTGTTGTCTATGTTCTGGGTTTCTCCCAAACGGTCCCAAATTACCTTGGAA